TGTGAAAACCTTAGTTTAAAAGTTAAAATCTTTAATGCAATGTACATTTTATTTATTTTATATATTGTTATTTATTTTATAATATACTATTATTATTTTTTTTTTATAAGATCCAAGGACATTTTATATGGCAACTTCCTTTATATATAATTTAAGTAAGTCTGACAGCTTTTTATTTAGGTTTTAATCTGTTTTATTACAAGTTAATTAAAATATGCCTTCTGTACAAATGTAATCCCCATAAATATTTCATTTTCTTGTGTGTTCAGAGTTTCTAGGATGTAGTCTGAGCCTATTTTCCCTGCAGCCACATGGTGGAGTGCAGTATTTACAGTCTCTGGCAGTGAAGGTAAACTACTTTTAGCATAGTTATTAATCATTAGTCATGCCGTTACTTTCTTTAGGTAAAGATTTAGACTGCACCCCAAGTGCTGTAGAGCCTTTGAAATCAGACGTCACACTTTATCTTGAGCTGTATCTGTTTGAGCATCGGTTGATCATCACATTGAAATACTGGTGCAGTGACGGTGCTCTGGTTCAGGCCGACATTCTTGCTCTTTTAGAGCCATAATAAAGCATGATGGTGCCTCTTGTGGATAAATGAATATGCTTCAAAGCAGAAAACAAAAAAAGGGTTCCAGTTTATCCTTCTCACTCATCTGCCCCTCATGTCTCGTCAGAATAACAGTAGTAGTGAGTTGTGCCATGCACTCCATAGTTACAGTACTTACATAAATGTGCGTCCAAACTCTCAGATAACATGAGATTATAGTGTGTAATCAACCAACCTCAGAATAACTGTGGATTTACTTCAGATAAACTTTATATATGGTGTTGCAAAATTCTCCTGTATATTTGGCTTGTTTCAGTTTCTTTTTATTTGTTTTGATGACCTTGTGATGAACCCTTATTTGTTTGGATGATTTATATCCGTTAGTTTAGTTTTGGATTTGGATATTTGAAAATGCTTTGCCCGTGACGCATTTTATCTGACCGTAATCTTTAGTAGAGGTCCGCTGGTCATGATATACCCACCAGCAGGATGTGAAGTCAAGTGCTCCAAGAGTGAGAATAAACCCACAGCTAAGAGCTAAAGCATATTGAGGCATTGTGAAGTTTTTTCCTCGCTGTCTGCTTGTGCAGGTCTTGAATTAAAGATGTTTAATGAAACAGCTCTATAGTGGTATATAGTGCTGCATTGCAGACAACAGCTCTCCAAAATATGGACGTTTGTTCTAAATTGTTAAGGTCATTGTCTCATATTCAAAAGTGAAAGAAATGCACCATTTTTTTAATCAGTATACCAACTTTTATAATAAGACACTGACAGTGAAAAACTGAATATGAATTTCTATGAATTTCAGTTTAATTCTACTTCCTGACATGTATCCCTCTGGTACTGCTTGCATGTCAAAAATGAGCAACCTTTTTTTTCTTCTTTTTTTTTTTCAAAGAAATGAACGTACTATATTTTAGTTTGATGATTTTTGTTTTGTATTTTTTTATTTAATTTTTTTACTTAAGTACTTTATGGTACTAAATTATATTTGTAGAATAGTTATTATCCATTTATTACCCGTTAACCACTTTTTTTAGCATAGACCTGCAAATGAAAAATGCATAAAAATACTATTTTTTTTATTTGAAATGAAATGTATATTTTCCAAAACGTGTATTATGCTAAATCTAATTGGAAATTAAAGCAATGAATCTAAACAAGTAAAAAAGAAACAAGTAAAAAAAAAAGATGTTTCCGTAAGGTTTGTTTGGGTGCAGTATGTTTCCACTAGATGAAATTCACTTCTCATTCATTTCCAATGCCGTCATTTTAGACCGTCAGCTGTACAAGTGTAATCATGTAATCAAGTTTTTGAATCATGTTTTGATTTTTTTGTGTTCACACAAGTGCCAAAACCTCTACCAAGTTTTATACCATTCAGATGAAATAAAAAATTGAAATAAATATATAAATAAGTAGTGAAATATTTACACTTTTTTTTTTAGTGCTTGCCCAAAAAGTATTTTAGTCTGCAAAACCTTAACCCTTAGCAAAAGCATGGTCACCGATATGTAACTGTTTGCTGATTAACATGAACAAGGTGAATTATATAAAAGTTTAACTTCTTTTCAAATAAAAAATGAATAAGAGAAACTATGGATGTGAATGTTGACTACCCTTTTTAGAAACAGCTTTATATACAGTAGGGCTATTGTGAGTCTGATGGCTTATCCAGCTATTGGGTAGATGAGGTGAGACCATCCCTGTCTTTCACTTTCCAAGTAAAAATTCACTCAAAGCCCTTGTCTGAGAATTAAACCATTGTAAGCATGTACCCCTAGATCAGTCGTCTAATCCCGGAGCTTTACCTCATGTCACGTACCTCTGTGTCCTTCCCCCTCTATGTTTAAGAGTGGAGGCTGTCCTCATACTGACCTATGACCAGCCTTAGCCTTGCTGGAACTAACATCATTGATGAAACATAAAGCAAAACTGATTCCAGATCAGGGAGCAATTTCTGCTAAAAGCAACAATGCTTAGCTTTAAGCAGCTTGTGTGTGGATTGTTCGTAGCCAAACAAGTAGCTCTTATGTGCAGGGTTCACAGGTCATTTCATTTATCACTCTTGTCTTCAGGCGTAGGGCACTGCTCTCTGGCTTTACCTGCTAAAACAGACTAAATAAAGCACTGTGGCTATAAAGATATGGTTTCCAAAAGTAATGCTATAAACCAGGGGTTTTCAAACTGTTCAATGCCAAGGAGCTGCTGCATAAAAGCAGCTATACTTCATGTATATTTCATGTGTACAAAACACAATTAATACTGTGTATGAAAAATTAAAATTTAAAATGTGTGATCTTAAAACAACAGGTTTTCAAAATAGCTTTTATATTATGACTGTACTAAAGCCAAAACATATAATTCAAATATTATTTGGAATATATTTGTTTTAACAACATATCATTTTCTGCCAAATATTAGAATATAAGATACATATTTTCAGAAATAATTTCAGTTAAATTGAAATATAATTCAAACGTAATATGTATAATACACTTAATTATCAGTCCAAACCAGTATTATGGAAAATAGTGCCAAACCACAAGTGAATAAGCTAAAAGTGAGAAATTTTGAAGAATGAGAGATTAGAATAGATATCAGTCTAAAAACTCGTAACCAGTGACCTTTTAACTCTAAAGGCTTTTGATAAGCCCTTTGATGACTTGTGCATTGAACAACATCAGTGCATTGAACTTCAATGCATTGACAGTGTCTGACGTGAGTGAGTTTTGGGCTGGACTGTTGCTTGCTGACCACGAATAGGTGGCGGGAGTGTTCAGGGAAACTTGTCATTATTATTGAATTTTCGGTAACACTTTAGTATAGGCACCCATTCTCACTATTAACTAGTTGCTTATTAGCATGCATATTACTAGCATATTGGCAGTTTATTAGTACTTATAAAGCACATATTGCTCATGACCATATTCTACATCCTTAATCCTACCCAAGATCTAAACTTAACGACTACCTTACTAACTATTAATAATCTGTAATTAGGAGTTTATTGAGGCAAAAGTCATAGTTAATAGTTTGTTAATAGTGAGAACTAGACCTTAAAATAAAGTGTGACCGAATTTTCATTTGGTGACACAAGTGGTGCAGAAATTACAATTTGGGTTTGAAGTATTTCTGCATTGATAGCGATTGTCCAGTGAAGCAGACAGTTTATGATAAGATTTGATATATTTTTGTCAACAGTGTTCAAGCCTGCACTGACTCGCAGTTGACATGCATGTGTGCGCATGCATACACTAGCGCTTATATTTTGTGGATAATCTGGAATAGGTGGGATTTAAACGAGGGATGATCTGGGGTAAAGCACAGATTTGGATGGAACATTCCCACAGATACCAACTACTGACTAAACAGTGAGGACGGTGTCACATGGACCTGATAACATCATCACGAGCATCTGTGCGCCTATGGGTTATTTTAGGGCTGTTAATAAGTGAAAAATTTTAAATATTGCATGACACACTAATTGACTAATCAGATAATTCTTTTGCTCTCATATAAGCCATTGAATTCAGGAATGTTTCTTGCGAGCAGTACTTGGGATCGTATTGTCCAATGGTAGGAAAATCGCATTTACATACAGGTCAGGGCAGGGGTTCTTTTTTTTAATATAATAAATAATTGTAATAATAAGTTAATATGCTAAAATGACAGTCTTAGTTTTTCCTAATTGTCCTCAGTGATTTTCTTGTCTCCAGTGGTCATTCTATGATCCAGATGTATGCATGGTGGCTTATAAAAATGGTTGTTTCTTGTGTATTCTGTGATACATAATGTATTTACATGCTATGGCATACTTACTATTTATATATGCCATACTGATAAAGTACTACTTTGAGCATGCAATCAGTTTTGCACGCATTGCATCTCTGACATCTCTATGACCTTGTTTGATGGATTAGCCTCATTACAGATGGAGGTACAGCATGTATGCATTGATTTATGTCAAATTACATTTCATTGCTCAGAAACGCTTAAACATTTGATTCAGGATCAGCAGTTTCTCTGCACATGTAGTCTGGTGTTTCTTCAACTATTGGCACTTTTGACCCTGTTGACAAGCATTCAGTGGTGGAAATGACATTTAGGCAGTTTTGGGATCATTTGATGGACTCCTTTGTCCAGCTAAGGTTAATTTCGTAGCTATCATTTCATGTATCCTAAATATACCCAATTAAATAGCATTTTCTTTCTGTTTTTGACCAAATATAGCTTATTGGAAATTTATTTTTTGTATATATAAATCATTAAGCAAACCGTTTCAATATTCTTTGTTATTTTACTCTTTGTTTAGACTTTCATAGTTTTAAAATGATATTTTTATAGATTGAAAGTCTAACTGTAAAATCTGTACTTAAAAGGCATTTATAGCAAAAAATAAATCAAGGCTGTCTTAATGTGACACTTTTGTCTTGTGTTTTAGGTGTGTGTACCAAGAAAGTGGGAAATCTACGTGTGTTTCTGCTGGTATGTGGACTCAGACGAGTTAAGGATCCTTTGTATCTTCTAGAAGCTTTTGCAGGTATTACTTTTTTATAGGATCATAGTTCAACCTCATTCATTGTGCAACATGAAATTGTGACTGTTTTTAAATGTTAAAATAATTATATAAACATATATAAACAATTAAATTGGATCTTTTCTCTTACAGAATGGCACAGTCAGAACCCCCTAGTGGTCCTCATCATCATTGTTCCAAAGGTAAGCAAGAAATAGTGTAGTGTCTAGTTTAGGGCAACAACTAGAGGTCCACAGGCCAGATCCAGCCTGTCAAATACATTTTTTTTTTTTAAACAAACTTTTGATTTTTAAATCAATTAAATTCCTGCTCTTCGGCTACACATATTCAAATGCATCTGATAAAATTAAATGTTATTTATTTTAGTGGTTGACCATGATATTTGGCTTTTGTATTATTTATTTATTTTTACTTATTTATTTAGTTATTTTTTGACGTTACCTGGTCCTAATTTTTTGAAAATATGATTTCTGACTTGCCAGCTTATTGCGTGCACATTTGGTTACGTGTTTACTTCAGTTTTATTGATGTTTTTATCTATTTCTTTTCTATTTCTATTTTTCTATTCTAGATTTATTTCTAATTCAGTAAATATGTAAAATAAATAAGTTTAATTGCAGCAATGGTTTTGCATGTGTTATTTACTATCTATAATTAAATAGTGTGAAATCATGTATAGCAACTTTGTATTGACTATTGGCCACCCTGTTCTGTGTGATTTTGGCTTTGGTCGGCAAAAAATCAATATTGGTCGCCCACTAGTTTTATATGCAAGTATTCAGAAATAGGAAGGTTACATAAAAAAAGCCTCACAGTTGAAATGGCCAGACAAAAAATGACTATTACTGATTGATTGTTTTATTTGGGTATGTTTGATTATCGCATTTGCACTGTTCAGTTATGTGTAAAGCTACTCTGCTTTAAAAACATGTAGTTACATAAAAGTTAAGACACCTTTATTTATATAACACTTTTATACAATACAGATTGTGTCAAAGCAGCTTTACAGTGTTCAACAGGAAAATAGTATCAATAATGCAAAAATTCCAAAAGAATTTAACACAATAGACAACAGTCAATTTTTTTTCATTTTTCAGTTCAGTGTTGATTCAATGATTTCATCATCCAGCTCAGTTCAGTTCTCTTACAATACTGTCTAAAAACATTACGTCAATAGCATTCCTTTTCTTAGTTTGGTGTACTGCTAAAAAGTGTACAATGTAGGAAATTCCCTAGATAATCTATTCCTTTAAAGAAATTAGTTGATGAGCCCTGGTCTAATTAAATTAACGCCCCTTCCTGCTGCTGTCACCATTTGTGTTGTATATCTTCTTATGTCTAGTTAACATCTCCAACATCCTAACATCCTTTTCAAAGAAGCTGTGTCAGTGTTGGCGCATGTGGGCAGCGTGTTTCTGTAGATTCCAAGGTAGTGCTAATTGGATGTAGCAAAGATAACAACATTAGCATGCACTAAGCTGGACTTATCAGAGGCATTTAGAGGCTCACTCGAGCTAGAGCCGTGGAATCATGCAGAGGATTGGGGCTGCGGGGGACTAGCATAAGCTGTGGACTGTTCATAGACCTGCAGTGCTTCATGATGCTAGGGGAGGCTTGTTAGCTGCTACGAGCTGATGGCTAACCTGTGGCAGGCCATCTGCCACTCCAGATTATGTGCCAAGCCTAGGTGCTGCCATTCTGCCAACCCCATAGAGAGGTCACCCTCCTCCTCTGGGCAGAATCTAGTCACAGACATGGTCAAATATTTTTTGAAATATAGATTTTAAAAGATTGAAAAAAGGGAGGAGGAAACAAACAAGCCCAAGGCAAAAAAAAAACGTTTCTGTCCCTAAGTGTGTCTAAGGTTAGAAAAGAAACAGGAACAGAACGAGTCAACACAAGACCTCAAGCCCATATTACTTATTTTCTCAGCCATGAAAGTTTTATTGTAGAAGTCTGACTGCACATGTTCTGCTTCATTTGGGATCAAGCGCCAGTGGTGTTTTCATTCCATCATATTTTTTATTATTTTCTGGCTGGGTGTCTGGCAGCCCATGGAACCATATGGTGAAAAGTTGTGAAATTTGGCTCACTGATTAGTCTGGGTCTAATGGTGTGTTTAAGTCCTCCTGGGAAGTTGTAATTATGATGGGTTATGATGGGTCAGATGGGTTCAAATCACTTTGGTTGGAGAAAGATGGCGATTTTTAAAGTCAGCATGAAATGAAAATTCACCCCGTTTTCTAAATGCATTTTATAGATCTTACTGTGAACAATTCATCCGTGCATACAGCAGATTTCTTTCAGACTACTCTGTGACACATGCTGGAATTTTCCAGTCATTTAGGCTGCTTAAACTCCACCCCTTTCTTATATTTGACTGAAAGCTCACATTTGTTTTCAAATGCAACGTCCACATCTCAAAATCTAATCAACAACCAATGGTTAGAACCAAGCCTCCACCATACTTCACAGTAGTAAGAAAATATCTGGCGCTGCTTTCCGGTTCATTGTGACTTGTGTTGTAAACTGAATTTTTATATATCATAATTGTACAGTGCTATAGTATTTTGTTCATTCAGCCTAGCTAGTTTTATTATAAATGAAAGAAAGAAAACATTAATTTCAACAAATTTACTCTCAAAACAGATGCTGCATCCATTGCTTCTGCCATGCTTTCTCATTAACAATGACCCAGAAACAAATTCTGGTCTCAAAACTCAAAAATCCAGAGTTTCCTCACTCGTAATTGACTTTGTGGTGGTGTTTGTGTGTGTTCAACTCTCAAGTCTTGTGACCACTTTTGACATCTGTCACTCAAACTCTGTAACACCACAAACGGCTCAAATGTTACTGTTTCTGTCCGAAAACTGAGAGCCCGACAAGCTGTTTTCTGACGTATTTATTATTAACTAACAAATGTAACGTGTTGTTGTGTAGACCTAACTAACACCATGCAACAAGGTGAGCGCGTTAACTAACACAACATTAAAGGTTACCAATGTTTAAAAATAATGAGTTTATATGTCTAAAAACACAAACCAACACATTCTCACCTGTAAAAGGTTATCCCATTTCTTCTGGAATTGAAATCCCGGCAGTTTTTACAACCATAGGCTGCGCAGAATTGTGGCATCTTCGAATACTCATTGATTATTATGGAGAATGACGTCAGGTTGACCGTTGCAAGATGGCAGACATGTCAACGTGCTTGGAGCGGTCAAATGAGGAATCTCACTATGCTGTACATATCTATGGGCTAAATCTTGGAAATACTTCAGTTTCTTGGAAACTAAACCTGTTAGGAATCACTAACATTTATACTACAGACATTCATACAATATAGAATGTGCTTTTTAATGGTTGCAAAGTTTGTTCCTCTTCAGTTGTAGTACCTACTCAGGCAGTATGCGATTTTAGATGCACCGCTTACAATTTTGGATGCAAACTCTCTGAAGTGTAGCTTGAAGTATTTTATTTTTCAGTTATTGAAGTGGTAGTTATTATTTAAAAATGAGTCTATGTTTTTCTATAACAAATGCCCATTAACAAATGTTTGTTTTAAAGAAACTTGGTAACACTTTATTTTAGGGTCTCTTAACTAGTTGCTTATTAGCATGCATATTACTAGAATATTAGCCATTTATTAGTGCTAATTAAGCACATATTAATGCCTTACTCTACATGACCTTATTCTACATCCTTAATCCTACCCAATACCTAAACTCAATAACTATCTTACTAACTATTCATAAGCAGCAAATTAGGAATTTATTGAGGGAAAAGTCGTAGTTAATAGTGAATAAGTGTTCCCTATTCTAAAGTGTTACCAAACTTTTTCTTCCATTCTTTTTTTTCCTCTAAATATTTTCTCCTTCCACTGAATGGAAACACAAACATGTACAATTCTCCAAACTTTTTTTCACAATATGAGCACCAAAATATGAATCAGTTCCCCACACCATTGGCTTCCATCCTTTCTTTACACATTTCTCACCCAATCCGACCCAGCGCCTGACAACAGATCCTGCCGACTAACTCCTGGTGGCTTCACTGTTCCTTCATTTCCTCCTGAACTTCGGTACCTTGAGCCTTTCAATGTGTCCTATTTCCGCAGCCACCTATCCTCAAGGCCCAGTGATTTCACCACAGCGACACAATGCTTCCTTCTTCCACAAACTGACTTTTGTTCTGTGAGGTTTCTTTGAGATTCACACATCAGGTGGAGACACATTTTCCTTTTTCTTGTCTCTTTGCGTCTCCAGTGATGTTCAAAGGCTTTCTTCTTTGAGTGTGGTTGGCTCCAGGCAAACCGATGACACTGGCAGTTGCTTACATATTCTTGTAAGCTGTGGTGTGGTTTTGTTTGATAAGAATATCTGGAGAGTGGTAAGACTCATTGTTTCTTTGGGGAGGGGCGGGCTCATGTTGATGACATCAAATTAATCCCAGATGTCTTGTGTTTCTTTTCTGCCTCCTTTTGGTTTGATTTGAAAATAACATTTAAAGCTGCATTCCTAAAATGTGCTGAAACTTGCCTCTTTAATTACCTGTTTGTAGGTGTTTCTAATTAATGACAACTAATAGTTTTCATTTAAATTGGTCTTTATTGGTGATCAAATTCCAGTGAGTTTCTCTTTTCCACTGAGTTTATCATTTGAAATGTGTGATTCAAGATGTTAACTTATTGTTAACATTGATGAAAGGACACATATATGCTAACTTTTTAATACAATAAGCTGCCAATACTGGTTATTTTCATATTTAAGGGTTAGATAACCAATATTGACAGCATTTTTAATTTCTAACGTTCTAACTTTTGCCATTTTTATACAAGAACATCACTGAAAACATAATATGCATTATGAATATTTTATTATTTTTTATTATTGCCATTTATCAGTTGAGCAGGCTTGGGAGGGTTACTTTATAAATGTATTCCATTTCCGTTACAGATTACTTAATGAAAAATGTTTTCAGTAACCTAATCCAAGCACCACAGAATGAACAGTATTTCATGCACTATATAAAATATTTAAGAAAATGCCATGTAGTTGTAACTATGTTGTAACTAAATGCTCTGAAACCAGAACACAACAGAAATGTTTCTGCAACAGAATTGTTTTTTTCTCAAGCAAATATAATAAGAACAGGTGCACTGACGAGGACTTTCTTCATGTGGTCATCAGACATTCTGCTTCGACATGCATGGTGTTAGTACATGTCCATCTCACTTCGCTAAATGATTTCATTTATTTCAATGGTCCTTATATAACAGGAAAATAACCCAAACCTGCAACGACAATGACCGAGCAAATAAACAATAGGATTAAAAAGACAAATTATTTCCATGTTTTTGCCACAAAATTATGTTTTATTTTGTACGGAAAGCACATACTCTCCCTCTGAAACTCAGACACATACAAGACAGACACACATTCGCACACACAGAAACATTCTTGCGCAGTAAAATAGTTTAGCAGTTAAAGGCTACATGACATTTCTCACTAGTGAGGTAATAAAGGCGTTGTTATTGAAGCAGATAAATTATAATTTTGCTATTAGTAGAGACGCTGCCTCTGAACACTGCCAAGAGACGCACAGACTCGTGTAATTCACACACGCTTAATCTCCCTCTCTCTCTCTCTCTCTCCCTCTCTCTCTCCCTCTCTGTCATAAATGAATTAATAACTGCATTAGTCTGACACTTTGGGTCGTGGCCGCATCTCCACCTCTCATTATTTTCTAGTAATTCAATGGTCTGTCCTCAATTATTCCTTACTTAAATTAAACATTTGTAATCCTCATAGTATTCCCATTTTTACAAAATGTAACTATTATCTGATTACCTTGATTTTTGACGTAACTATAACGAATTACAGTTGCCAGTATTGTGTATCCTGATTACGTAACTCTGTTACATGTATTCATATTACATATACATCCATTACTCTCCAACCCTGCGGTTGAGTAAATGTTATGCATGTCTGTACAAGCTGCACTCTAAAAAATGCTGGGTTGTTTAACCCAGCTGTTGGGTTTAATTTTTCAATTAAATTTTTAACCCAAAAGTTGGGTTAGTCCATATTTGACCCAAAGTTGGGTTGAAACAACCCAGCATTTTTTAGAGTGTATGAGTCAGTCATTAGTATTTTTTTTTTCAATGAAATTATTTCTCATACTGCCATCTCTTTTTCCCTCCTCCCATTGAGTGGAAACACAACACATAACAATCTTTTCTGAAATTCTCCAAACAGCTGAGCTTTTTGCACAATATGAGCACCAAAATATGAACCAGTTTCCCACACCTATGGCTTCCATCCTTCCTTCGTGCATTTTAACCAATCCTAGCATTTTTTTATTTGTAATTTCCAAGCATTTTTAATTTGCAATTTGAATGCTGTTTTTTTTTTTTTTTTTTAAGTATCCTGACTTGTATATTTGTGTTCTGTTAAAACTGATGAGAGGACAAAGGTTTGCTAACTTTTTGTGCAAGCATGTTCACGTCATATCTTTAAGGATCATGGATTTCAGCATGTCCTGTAGGAAGGACTGATCACACGGTGTGTTCTTAGCCAGCAGCTTTAGTTTAAGCAATAATCTCTAATTTTGCTATCATTTGGATCAAATATCACATTTCACTTAGAAAAAATGTAATAGTCAGACAGTGGAATCAAAACAAACAGGATTTGTAGAGAGGCTCTGCCAGGCTCACACACTCATATCATCTTTGACCCAAATTGCATGTGTTGCAGTTGCTGCAGCCGCCCCGGCCAGCTAATACACGCAAAGCCCTCATTGTAATGAATCAGATTGAGCAACAACCCTGCCCTGACCCGAATCTCTGGAAATCTATGGGATTTTCAAATGCGTTTTTTCCCTCAGGACAACTGGCCATGTAGTAAATTATGATCAGTATGAAACTTTGTCCTGTCCACAGACCATGATTTGGTATTATTGACAGTATTTTACAGGCAGGGAAAATACAGCAAGAGGGGAAAAAACAGCAACATGGGAGTTGTGCTCTTTATTGCTTATAAGCAAAGATAAGCCATAAGAATTTCTACATAATAACGAAAAGACATTAATCTCATCACAACGTGACCTTAAGTTACTTTTCATGTTTCTTTTACAGCACATGGCCCCTGAGTCTCATGTGGGGAAAATGTGAATTTAAACTTATTTGCAATGTTGCTGCAGTCTAAGACTGTGTGCCTGTTGTTACTACAGTATTGGCCAGTTACACGTATTACTGCGTTCAGTACTTTCATAAATTAAGAAAAATGTACAAGGTGTTCAAAATTAGAGAATGGTCTTTTTTGAAAGACCAATAGACTACTGATAGTAAAAAATATAATATGCATGGTAATAATAATAATAATGCGTAATAAAAATGTATTGTTGATGGTAAATGTTGGTTTCCATATGGTGGGTCTATTTCTATTCAAAACCTAATATTTCATATATTAATATATACATTAATGTTGCTTGGAGACTGTTTTGATTTGTATTTTGTTTTGTATTTTTATTTTTTTTAAGTTGAATGATATTTAATAAAAAATTTAGGTTTTCTGTAAATCTTACGAAATAAAGTTGTCTTATGGCGTGGTTGTTTCTAAACTAATTATTTCTAATCTATTTCTATTCAAAACCCAATATTTAAAAAATATGGAGTGTATCTGGCGGCTGATTTGAGTCAAGAGGAGCTGCATGCTGCCATGCAGAAATCATTTGCCCTGGTCAACTCGTCTCTCTCAGAGGGAATGTCTGCTGCTATCTTAGAGGTTTGTTTAGAGAGCAATAATTTAATAGATTTTGTTTTATTACAAATTCTATTATGAGACAATTTATAACAATTTGAGTGAAATTTTAATAATAACATTAATATTAATTTCAGAATCCTGTCTGATACAATCATTATTTTGGCTATTCAATTTGGTCTCACTAGTAGTGCCAGAATCATTTACATGAGCTTTGAATCTGTGTTTGTTTTGCCTGTTATTAGATAGGATATTATGAGCACAGTATCATCATGGGGATCTAGTTAATCTGTGTTCAAACTGACCAGATTAGTTTAACCCAAATGGCTGTTATCATATTTTCCTCAATAGTTCCAAATTTTTGTAAGTTGTTGTAATTTACCAGAATTTAACAATGAAAAGGAAAAGCTTTGTAAGTGCAATCAGCTAGCACATGATGCTTGATTGCTAGTTTGTAGTGCAGTTCCTGTAGCTCACAATGTCACAGTAATGGGTTCAATCTCGTATACTGATAAAATACCTTGAATGCCCTTAAGTTGCTTCAGATAAAATCACCTGGAGAATGAATAACTGTAAATGCATTGTGCACAAGGCCAAACAGAGTTAATGTATTGCAATCTGGTGCGTTTTAGGCGATGGATTTAGGTTTGCCTGTTTTAGCGAGGGATGTTCCTGGAAATGCTGCAATAGTCGAGCATGAGGTCACAGGACTGCTGTACACAAGCCCTCAGGTAAGATTTACAAAGGTTTGGATAATCAGTGAGAGCTTAATTTTAATGTATACATTTTGTATTTTACAAGAAAAGGGAAAAAATTGTTGAATAAAGTCGTTATTGTAGGATATCAGACCGAATCAGACAATCTAAGATTTGGTCAAACATGGTTGAAACATTGGGAGCACAAAAATTCCACAGAGGCCCAAGACAACAGGATGTCATAAATCAGACCCTAGCCCCTCTGAAGCAAGCCTAAACCTAAACCACTCTGTCACAGAACAGTATTCAACATTAACACAAAAGAACACTTATTGACAAGTCCAAGGAGTCAAAACACCATTTGGGGTGTGTAAAACAGCCTGGGTTAAATACCCAGGACACCATCAAGCTTTTTTGCTTTTTGCCTTTTGCCTTTTCTTTCTGCAACTTGTGTGTGAATGCGTGTGTTAGATTAGTTTATATGTCTTAGATGTATCCAATAAAGCCCTATTTATATTGAAAAGAGAAGTACCTTGTGTTTTGTGCTCACAAGTTAATGTCTTAATCTGCCGATCTTGTTACATGTGCTAATTAATAGTGTTTTCACTATATTTTGGATATAAATATCCATTGCAGAATTGATGTCATACGGCTAGTTCACTGACTCGCTGGCCGTCTCAGTGATCAACCGTAAAACAGTGATTCTGTCCTAATTCCCTTACATATGGTGGAGTTCCCTTTAAAATCTTAAATGATTCCCTTTGAGCTAAATTGACCTGTTTCCCTTACAATAAAGTCGTTATTTTTGTTTTCATTGCGCACATGAATGGCATTAATCAAATTAAAAACAACGGGGGGAAAATTATATAGTATATACACAAATATTTATGTACAGCATCATGGGTAATGTAGTTTTTCACCACTAATTCTGTTATTAAACAATTATTTTAAAAAAGTTGTATTAATGCAAATAGATGGTTGCAACACAAGCATATAACAACCTCAGAGCTCAGAACTGGTCTGTCTTTAAAGGTTTATCAGTCATTGTTAATAATCACTATGGAGAAAATATCTTTACTTTCGGAAACTTACTGTTGTGCTCATTGATGTCAAATGTGAAGTGACACATTTTCATACACTGCATTCATGAATTATATTTCAGCTGTGACTGAATTATAATAAGATTATCGGTAAAAAAAATTAAAAATCAGTTGGTTTCGTCAAAAAGATATATGAGTGCAGAACACTTGAATTTATGAGAAAAAAGAAAGTGTAGAATATAAGTGTATAAGTGTAGAATGATAGAGAGTGAGTAAATGTTTTAATTTAAACATAATATTACATAATTTTGACTTGACTTGATTGAAACATAAATACTTTAAACTTGCAATTTTACATATTTTTTCTCAAAATCTTTTTTCGGCATTAAAAAGGGAGAGTAATGTTGACTTCCTCTTCTTAGCACCATCTTTAGGGGGAACAGACAGATTTAGCGATCATTGTACTGCCATGCTAAACGGCTAAGAGGAGCCCAATGCAGTTTAAAAGAAAATAAAAATAAAATAATAATCAGATCTGGCCACATATAACTTACAGTTTGAAGAATCAGATTTAAGAAAAAAATCAGTCACAAACGCCAAAAAAACTGTCACTTCTGTAATTTAATTAACCTAAAAACATTTTTTTTCTATTTTCTTAGTGCCAAATATTTGTTTAAACTTGTCCAGCATGAGTCACATCTGTGAGCCTTGACCTCTGCCTTTTAAGTAGCTAAATGAGAGGTTTAAGACTGCACTTTATTTTGTGGAACAAAGAGCCTCGTTAAGGCTTAAAAGATCTCTGATGATTAGTTGTGCTTCACTACATGAAAAAAGTCAGGTCTAGTTCTCTACGTGCATTAAATTGATCAAATGTGACAGTAAAGACAGAGAAAAGGTTTCAAATAAATGCTGTTCTTTTGAACTTTCTATTCATCCAATAGTTTTTTTCCTCCCACAAAAATATAGCACAACTATTTTGAACACTGATAATAATTCTAAAGGATCATGTGACTGATGACTGAAAAAAAAAAAAAGATATGTGAAGCCTTAACAAGATTTTCAATGTTCTTGTTTCTACAGGAATTTGTAAGCTTGTCCAGAAAGCTGCTGGATGGCCGTGGGCTCCAGGAAAGACTGGTGAGAAATGGAAAGAATTACATTACAGCTTGCCACAACCCGATGAAGGAGAGAATAACCTATCAGAAACTGGTGGAGACTCTTTACTGACAGTATGATGGGATTAACACTTGTCTCAGGTCTTTAAGAACTTTAAAAAGGTGAGGGCTTTGTGCTCTTTCTAGAGCTTTTCAGACTGAATTGCATATTCCAGTCGGTTATGCAAGCCTCTCCCATGACTGCCAAGATAATGGTGCCCATGTGTCTGTAGAGTAAGATAAACAGGAAAAAATATATTTATAGGACATGTTGACTTCTTATGCTTCACCAGGTATGAAAGGGACACACATTTTACTATACATTTACTCAGTTCTTAAATTACAATTTATCAGGTCTTGCAACAAGGATGGGTGACAGATCTGGTACTTTTCTAAAACTTTTCTTTTTAGAGGGGTAGTAATTTATCTAGAAGCGTGTGCCTGACATTCATTCGGCACTGCAAACGGCCGAGCTCTTGCTGTGTGCACAGACAGCTGCATGTTTGCAAGTGTTTGCGTTCTACTTTTGTTGTGTTGTGGTGTTTGTTTGTAGTGACGATTGGGTATAAAAGTGCCAGTGTTACCACAGTGGTTGTGAGTTTTCTGGGTTAAAGAATGTGTTGACATTACTTCCCTAGAAAGAAAGATTCCTACTCTTAGGAGGATCTCAGCTTGAACTGAACAGACAGCTTGCATTCATGTGTACATACTGCATGTGATATGACATGACAGGCAAGACATATGATAAACTAAAAACGTCTGAAATGTACTATACTTGATTTTTCTAAACAAATGTAAGGTAAAATAGATGCAGAATCCAGTTTCAGAGGTGCTACATTTAGCTTGTTTGGTACAAATTACGCCCTGTTTTTACTGTAGTAAAAATTAGAGCTTTAAAAATGTTAAACTGTGTCAAGGCTGAGATTTACAGGCTTAATAAACTCCAAAGACAGTTATCTGTTAGTCTTAAGCTGATTCAACTGCCAAACTGGTTTTTCTCTAAAGCCCTAGATGAAGAACAGTGATGCTCTTTGTACAATAAATGAAACACAAGATTGTTTTTATGGACACATTTTACTCTTTGGAGGATTTTTTTATTTATTCATGAAAGTTACTTTGTTCAGGGATTAAGGTTTGTTTGGAGGTTTTGCTAAACATATTATAAAATATTTATTCTGTTTGTAACTAAGACTGTATGTCTCAAATCTTAAACCATAACTTTCTTTGATTGTATCTACATTTCGTTCAATTTCGTGGCACAATAAAATATACTGTAAACACTTGTATGCAAACTTTTTGTTGAATTCCAGTTCAACTATAGAGGTAAAATATATACGTACATTAATGGTGCTCTGAACCCATGGACATTTTTGGCTTTATAGAAAGAATGACAATTTACTAAATCTTTAAATTCCCCAATGAAAACTCATTGAGAAAGACAAAAGAATGAGCTTAGCTAATAACCTCAAGGGGGGGGGGTTCTTTTAATAATCCTCAAAAATAGCAAGATTGTGTTCGCTCCCTTTTATCATGACCAGTGATCAAGGCAGAATCAATATTTCACAAAGTCTACTCACAAAGAAAATGTCACACCTGTCCATGAAGCTGTACTGATTATCTTGACCATAATCCTGTGAAGCACAGACCAACAGAACGACTTTTCCAAAGAAAGAAGGCATTCAGGTGACCATAGGTTGGAGCTAAACTCTGCAGGACAGTTGACCAGAGTTGCCCAGCCCTGGTATAGAGATATACATTATGGGTGCATAAATCAGGCTGCATGTGAGCCAACAATCATAGCTGTTGCAAAGACTCAGCAGCTGGCACCTCATGTGTCATACAACTGTCCTCCTTTCCCACCCAGTTAATTCCATATCCATTCTCTTGTGGTAAAGTTTTGGGAGGAGTTTGCCGATCCAAGGATGTGAAGGTGGTGAACTGGACCCTTTTCCTCTTACTAGTGGGTGAATGTAGGGATTCACTTCGGACTGGTTTTGCTTTAGGGGATCCTACACATGAAACATTAGAGTCATTTGATACAGAAGACACCTGGCAAGAGGTCCTTTGGGTGAGAGTGCCACAAGGCTCCGTATTGGGTCCTATGTCGATCACAGACGTATTATGAGCATCCTGCTGTAATGGGCTTCCAGTGACATTCATAACCAACTCAGCATCTGTTCCCAGCCAGACCCAGTCATGCCGGTGACCAGTCTGCTCAGAAACTTGACCAGGTGTCTGCTTGTGCCTAAATTTAACCAAGTATGACACACAGTTTACCATAAATACTATGATAGCCAAGCAGAAGACTCCAAGTAATGCATACATCCCGATCTCCAGGTCCGTAAGTGGACGGTTTGATAGTGGTCCCTCAATGTCATCGTCATCATCATCGTCTCCATAGTCATTTTTTGGCTCCTGATTGGGGATTTCCACTTGGGGAGGGTAGTTATTGTAGTTCACTAAGTTCCCAGAAGCCTTCCCAGTGCTTAACATTGAACGCTCAGGAACCTCATTGCTATTCCAGGAAATTCCTGTGCGACCATCGTTGCCAGCTTTTCCTGTACTAAAGAAATTTCCACTATTTAAAATATTCCCAGGTTTACTAACTCCAGCAGAGGCATCATTAGCCTGTCCCATTCCCAAATCATTTGCAATGCTGCCAACAGTTGAGTCTCGTGCTGTCGACCTGGCTGTGGTGATAATCTTCATCAAGGCCCTTTCTTCTAGCTCAGACTCTGAATTTCTGCTTGAAACCTGTTCTGGCTGCTGCAGCTTCTTTTCAGAGTCTGCCTCCTCTCCTTTATCACCACGCTCACTGCTGTTATCTTTCCCAGTGACACCAGCAAATAGTCCTGTGCTGTTTCCCGTGTCATTATTGTTGATGCTGCTGTTTTCAGGATGTTTGCTGTTTGTCTGGAACTTTACCGTTAAGCTCCCAGTGCCTACAGCTAAAGTACTTTTGCGCTTGGATTTCTGACAGACCTCACAAATGCTCATCTCGGCTCTCACCAGTGTTCCTTGGCCTTCACCTTCTGCCACAATAGTCATAGGTGAGTCCTGCACAGAGATCACACCCTCATCCAGCGATGTCACAGCCAGGCGGTAGTGAGTAGGATCATAAATGTCCAGTGGGGTGAGGGAGCCATCGCTAAATTGTAGCCAGGAGCTCAACACTGCCTCCTGCAATGAGAATAAAATTGAATTTTACTATGTCCTGCATTTTACCTTTTTTTTTTTTTTTTGCTATGGTACCAAAAATGGTATAGAGAACCATGGAATTTGGCACCAACTACCGACTGAAATGTTGGTATTGTGTCAACACTAATACAGTGCTGGGTAGATTACTTAAGAATTGTAGTTTGTTACTAATTCCAAATTACATGACAAAATTTGTAGTTAGTAACATAATTATACATTACACATTTGAGATAATATAATCTGACTACTTTTTGATGACTTTTTGGAAAAATAACTGTAGTCTGATTACAAGTATTTTCAAATGTAATATAATCTAATTTAAGAACTTTATTTTTGGAATCTGATTACGCAATTTATATAATATTTATGCACAGTATAAATTTATTATGTACAAGATAACTAGCCCTAACAGTAAAGCTTTATGGCTAAATTAGCAATCATTTTACTTCCAACCTGTTACCAATTTTTAGGTTTTAAATGTAAAAATACCAACTTTATAAATTTTAATTAAATATTTATTTCTTGAAAGTTGTAAAATCACACAAATCAGTGTTTTAGACATTTATAGATGCCCCAAATTTTGGTTAACGATAAAGAAAGTGCTGATAAATTACCTGTTAAGGATTGCTGAGCACTTCCTGTGTGGTTGCCGTGGCACTGATGGCTCGGTTACTTCCTGTGCTGAGCTGCAGGCTGAGTGTGAGCCCACTGACCAACTGCAGGCCCAGTTCAGTGATGGTCACTCGATCATCCACAACCCTCACCGTCTTCTCTGCCAGGATGGAGTCTGACAGCGGGGAAAGGACCTGAACAATGGGAGACACCTGGTTATTAATAATGAGGCCCCTATTTTGATAACAACTGTTCTAAGCATTGCCACAAAAGAAAGAACGTAAAAAGAAAGCAACAGGTAAGTAAATAAAAAAAAGTGCAAAGAGATTTACAAAAGAACTAAAAACAATGTCCAGGCAGACAGGATACTTAAATGCATTGTAAGCTTACATTTACATTCCTTTATTCGTTTTTCAGAATAAATGCTAATTACAATATAGGCGTTAACTAGAAAATGTGCATTTGAATGTGGTCATTGTGTTTTTGTACCTTTTGGTGGACAGGATGGGGATCCTCCAGCTTTTGATCTGACTCAGCTCTATATCAGACACCTCTATATCCAGCGGCAGACGAGGGAACCACACCTTCATCTCCAGCTGAGCGCTCAGGTAACTGTAGGTGAAGTTCACCAGCATCCGCAGTCGCCCCTGGGTTTCTTTTCCATTCACATAAACAAAGTCGCATCTGTCGGACACCTGAGGGCATCCAAAAATGTTGTTTTATGTTATTTATAACTCTGAATGAACAGGCTGTTCACACTGTAGTTTTCATGTTCTACTGGATTGGAACGGACTTGTGTAAGAGGATTTGTTGGTGCTTAGTCCCAGTAAAAACATGACTTTTGAGACCAAGTATAATTTAGGTTCAGATCAACATTTACAATTTTTTCAACTGCTTGAGACTGAATTGCTTTAGTAGTTATTTCCTTTATTAATGAACCCAATTTGAAAGTTAGAAATCTACAGCAAAATGAAGTAGCGGTTGATCCTTGCTTACTCTATGGCTCTTATACTGCATTTTCAGTGTAACTTTTATATGTTTACTGTCAGTTTTGAAATATAATGCATGGCATTAGAAGTCTCAGAGTCACTTAACATTTCAGCATGGGCTTACCAAATGCATGCCGCCACATTATTAAATCAATTGTATAATTTATGATGCAATTAAACTTTAACAAGATTGAGGAAGGCATGCAGTGGTGACTTTGTCCGACATCCTGGTGTGGAAGAGCAAGTTTGCTTAGCCTAAACAGGTAAGAGGATA